ATTTTTAAATTTAAGAAGGCTTTTTCCTTTTTTTTTTTTTTTTTTTTTTTTTTTTTTTTGCAGTCATGCCTATAGGCCCTGTTTGTTTATCCCTTCATAAAAGATTAACTTCTCCTGTCCTTTTGTCATTATTAAATACCGTAGATACATTTGGTAAAAAGAGCAACATTTGTTAATTTTGAAACAAATTTTTACTTAAGCAGCGTTTACCGGTATTTATGTTGCCTGATATAAGTAGCAACATGTGCCTCAATTGGGACCACCCCTCTACGGTAGAATTGAGCATGTGCAGAATGGGCATGTGTGTAAATAAGCTCTGGAGATTGTTGTCGCCATAAAATCTTGTTTGACTACGCCAAACTTTTCTTTCATACTCCTCAGAACACAGCCTGAGTTCGTTCAGTCTTTATATGAAACGTTTGAATCCACCAGCCTGTTTTTTGCGAATAAACCAAAGCATAAAATTAGACCCCATTCCCAGAGATGAGATCGATCCAACTATATCGACCTAACTCCCTGGGGGTTCACGCTAAATAGCTGTCAGCCGAGCGGACACGAAAGTTAATTACCCCCTTACAGCTTGTAGTAGGCGGGACGGACATTTAATCCGGATTATCTGACAGCAATCTAGTGAGACTCCCCACGGGGATAGATCGATCTAAAATCTATGGGAATGCGCCCTTAGGCTGAACGTTAAAATCAAACGTTTTAATCTACTTTGCGTCAATATAAATGATTAATAACAACATGCATCTGTCTCCATCTCCAGTTGTTCCGGACCTTTCCAGTGTGACACACTACAAGTTGTAGGTAAGATGCATATTTTGATATAAATGGTTTGCACTCGACGTCGTTTGTAAATTTCTAGGAGATTATTGTGCATTGCTGGGGAATTTGTTACATGTACGCCTTCGTTACCTGAAAAGGATTTACTCATATACAATATTTTTCATCACACACAGCTGTTAAGAGAATAAGAAAATGCAGAGTTTTGTTACAGATGATCCATGTTTGCTGGGGGCACCCTGCTTAAATGGTGGAACCTGTACTAGTATGGGGGATCAGTTCATGTGTAACTGTCCCCCTAGCTTCACCGGCACACACTGTGAGACACGTGAGTTTTTGTACTAAATATTTTACATGTATTGTTCCAAGAACATCAGACGCACTTGGCAATTTTAATTTTGCCTGTCGTGTCAAAGGCAATAGAGGTCTCCCAGAGACGCCACACCTTGGAACAAAAGGCAGAATCTTATGATCAAAAATGTGTTTTGTTAATGTAGAATTATTTCCCTCGCCTCTAATTAAGGACCCAATCGACGTACTTATCAAAAATTGACTGTCTGTTAGACATATTGTAACTGGCCTTGTATAGGAGACTGTCTTGTATCTCTATATAATTACCAGCTTCCAGTTCATAATATCTCTATGTATATATGATCAATATATTTCATTCATTCTTTAATCATATCTATTTTGAATTATTGTCCTTCATGGCATGCGATGAACAAGAAGCAGTATGTTTTATTATTATGATTATAAATGATTTATATTAATATAATTTATGTAATATATTAAGCGGCCTAATGTATTTCTGTGGGATATTGTAGCCACCTGTAGAACAAATGCAGATTGCAATCACAGGGCGGCGGACTGTCTCGGCCTGGTATCTTATGAAGCTCAGGGTATCAATGAGACTCCACCAGACCACATGATGGGGGTCACTCAAGACATTGCAAGATTGCTGGCGGTAAGATTTCCTTATTTGTTTGAATTCCGAGCCATTAGGCTCTCCAGTCTCCCACTCCGAAACATTGCATTTTTAATTAGATTAACATTCGGCAATTGCTAAGGAAAGAGTCTAAACCAGTTTTTTTTTTTTTTTTTTTGAAAGAAAAGGAGGCGGCGTTTTATATCGTAACAAACATCACACAAACCCTTGCTTATTTACTTTTTTAAAGCCAACAAAGGTAGGTGTCCCCCTCTCCACCACAAGGCGCCGTGCTATACACTGTAAGCAGTTACACTTGTGGCAAGTGCAAATCAAAACTTGCCATGATGTATTTGAAAAGGAAAAGGCTGTAACGAATCCTGAAATTTGTCAATTCCTGGCGATTCGTGGGATTCGTGGTCTGTGTGAAATAGGGACATTAAGTGGATTGGGCTTTAGGGTGATTCGGCGAATGTTTCTATTTAAATAAAAAAATAATGCACATATGCTAAGTTTTTGACTCACATGGTTTCATATTATTTATTTCTGTACAGTGCCTATAAGCTCGGGTCATATTATAATATCTCATTATGGTATTTATTTTAAAAAGCGAGACCAGTTTTGATCGGGGTTTCTGCACTATAGAAGACTAGCTCACAGAGACATATTATTCAATTAATATGCACAATTAATGAGATAAAATCTATTAAAATTGTGCATTTCATAAGCATAAGTGTATATTACAGTTAAAATTTACTTTTAAACTCGTGCAGAATATAATTTACATTTAAACTCCTGCAGAATATAATTTAACCACCGCTAGCTAGATAATGCGTACATTCAACATTCAGGTGAGGCCGCACGGTATGAAGAAAATAGTAACAATGTTGCTTATATTACCTATTTACATTATATTACTATTATATTACTTATATTACTTTTTACAGCCGATAACTGATGTGATGTGCAGTGGCAATGATCGCTACACCCTGAATGTCACTGTGGTCCACTACTGCAATGCTGGGGTCTGCGCTGAATTCACCACAAGTGAGTTTTAAGGGTTAGCATGGTCTCTAGTAAAATTTTTTTTTCTGATATTTCTGTTAACAGGAAATGGTCATTGGTTTTAATTCCACACAAGAAGTCAACTCACTTCAAACTTACCCGTGGAATGAAAGAATAAAGCAGATTTTAAAAGCCCATAACGAAAATGTAATGGGTGTTATGGTTCGAATTTTTTACATTAAAGGTATTTTGTTATACATATAAAAGCAATGATACGATTTGAGTACGAGCAGTATACAAATCATAATCCCTTCAATTGGGAATTGAAATTCTCTTCTTTAAAATGTGGAATTAAATATCACAACCGCTTTAATTGTACCTCGTTACTCTGATTGCATTGTGGGGAATCTATGCACCGGTAATTTGAAATAATGTCTTGTTTCGTTTGTTTATCCGTATCAGGCACTGTATATATGTCAGTCTAGTCATCACTGTTATGGCATTGTAACATTCCATCAGCGTGTCTCACTTACGTCGTTTATTAGCGGACGGACATTTATAGAGTCATATCATTTTTTTCGCAATTTTTTTAGATAATTTCGCCAAATTTGTAAGGTGGATCAAATTCTTAGTGGAGTACATCATGTAGGAATGTATAATACCTATGATGAATATCATAAGAAATATTACGGAAGATTTCCTTTATCCCTTTATCAAAAGGTACATAAATACTAAATAAAGGATTGTAAAAAAAAAAGTAATAGAATAAATATGTAATTTAATGAAGAGATGAGATAGTGGAATTTATTTTCTTTTATTCATGAAGAATGCAAACTTTCCTGATGTTATAATTATTTTACTTTCCAGGTAATACTGTATTCTCCGACTGCACTGTAGCTAACTCTTATCAGAATGTAAGCACAGAGACGCTATGCAGCGTGGCAGACACGGTGTCTCCAATCTGTACGTTCAATCCGTTCTTCCTCTTCTTCACGACCTCTGGATACCGTTGTATGTGCCCACTGGGGTCGTACCCATTCATATTCCCCTTCTCTTATGTTAGCAGTGCATCCACGGCGGTGTCGGCGTGTTTTCCAAGTAATTATTAGGCCTACTGCTATTTCTATTATTGGATTCAGAACAAAACAAAATATTACAAAATCACATTTTCAAGTTATTATTCTATCATCATTTTTATTGTTTGGTCTAGAAAACGCACATTTAATACCTTATTACTTATTTGTATTTTGTTCTTGTCATAATTTTTTTTATTATTATCATATTATTTATTGGCGTATTTGGCTGTGTTATAACAATATAATACATGAGCGTGATATGCAATGTGTATCTATCGATATTATATTGTATTTATATTATCTTTAAAAACTATGGCACTATTCAGAATAGGGGACTAACTGAGGTTCAATATGGCCGACCCACTTGAATACTTCCCCGCCGGATATCTATTCAGTGTCTATTAGCGGATTAGACGACAAGCTTTGTAGTGGGTCGCCATATTTGATCCTTGGACTAGTTAGTCCCCTTTTCTGAATGGGCCCTATGTTCAAGCCAAATCGGTTAAGATCGAGGCATCCTTTATCTCTGTGCAATGTTCCAGTCTCTGGTTCCTATTGCACAACGAACGCGGACTGCAACGTTAGGGCGACGGACTGTCTTGGCATTCCAACCCGGGCCAGTTTGGGCTCTCCCCCGGAATTCCTGGGAGGGATATCCTCGGACATTGCTAGTTTCCTAACGGTAAGATCTTCTTTCCCACGTTGTTTGCTTTTATTCGGATTACGGGGTCATCCTAATTCTAGCCAATGATGGACGATGAGATCTATTTGTTTATTGGAGTCACATAGAAATCAAAACTGTTCGACAAGGTTCCCATGTAGATTTTGTTGCGAATATGCACTTCTTGTCGAATTGGTGAACTGAAAAAAAAATGCACATTGCTCATGAATTTCCAGTTGCAAAATGTAAAATAGTTCGAAAGAAATTAATCAGCAAGAGAACAGTCTCGTTCCGCCGAACTATAAGTGTGTAAGAAGGTTCGAAAGTACCCGCATGGAATACGCAATCAAGATATTTATCACAACTAACACATCGGTGAAAATGGGGGTCACATTCACCGTGCCCGACACAGTTCAGCGCTCTTTTAATGTTAACTTATCTTTTGACCCTCTGATGTTTTGACCCAACCCAGTCAATATGTGTTTGAACAGGGAATGCGGTGTGGGTGGGTCCCTTCTGGGTCTGCCTGTATTTGTTGTAATTTTAATCATCGCTTGTCTTTTTTGAACCTATGCATTGTTACATTTCATACCGATGACCATCTGTTTTTCTTAAATTTCAGGCGATAACTAGTGTGATATGCAGTTTCAACGATCGCTACACCGTGGATGTCACGCCCGTCTACTATTGCAACGCTGGAAGCTGCGTCGAATTCGACACAAGTATGTTTTTAGACGTATACTATTATTTTTCGCCTTGGTATTCTTACTTAAGCGAGTTGGACGTTAGTTTGAGTTACACATCAAAGTCAGCAACATTATGACAATAATGGAGTATAATGTATTGGAAATTCACATCATGCAGCATAGTACAGTCGTCTCATACCTTAGTGATATAAATAGAATGGACGGGTTTCGACTCGAGGAGCAGCATAGAAAAGCGACCGTAATTCCTTCATGTCGATCTTTTTGTGCAATGCACCATGTAAATATTATTATTATCAGTAGTAGTAGTAGTAGTAGTGATAGTAGTAGTATTCCTTCGTGTGGATCTTTTAGTGGTATTCACCATGTTAATTTCATTATTATTATTATTATTGTTATTATTATTATAATTATATACAGCTTCAATAGTTTATTTGCTATAGTAGTTTGACATACATTGTAGGTTCCAGGTGTACAATTATCACCCTTGCTCCCTGTATTTGTCAACTGTCTACTTTGCAGGTCCTCCTCAGAACACGCCCCTTGTGAACGGGACTATTCTGTTCTACCAAGGTCTGGTTCGGGATTTCTTCCCATCTTTATTCGTGCTGTACCCCAACGTGGTGCCAGACCCAGACAGCGGCAACCGGCGGACGTATCTCGCTCAAAATATCTATGGGGCGATCTTCAGGGAACTGTTTCCATCATTGCCTATTTCATAGCGTATGGCTGCACTGATCCCAAAGTTGACTTAACGTGCTATATTGGATATGTTTCGTTTCTTAATGATAAATTCAATATGTTGTGTTACTTTCAATATCTGTATAATAATTGTCTCAGTGAATATAATGAATATCTTGTTACATGCACTTGATGTTTCAATTCGCTTTCCCATTTGGTATTTGTCTTGTCTTCTTTTTATTTACAAGGTTACTACCTAATATGGAACATTATTTTTTGGTGAGTAAATTTTCTATAAAATATTTATTTTCTCTCTTATTATTTTAAATCCAAAACTGAGGCGTCACTCCATGTGTAGCCAGGTGTGTTACCTAATTACCGCACAACTTTCGAAACAATTCATGCATGCAGTTGCATGTTCTGTGGTCAGAAATGTGAGGGGTGGTCTTTTCGGCAATATCCGCCCTTGTATAAAACGCATGGGTTTGGTCAATCTTTGGAGTGTATTTAGAGAAGCAATAAAGGGATCGCTCTGAAACTTGACAGGTAACTCCAGTAGTCATATCTTGAAGTTAAAGTGCCGCATATAGTTTCATATCTGATGACAATAAGCATTCTTTTTAGCCCCGAATATCTGTAATCTTTCACTATACTGTAATTTTATACTGCAGACGATTTCCCATATACAGACTAATTGGTAACTTGGTAACTAATGCATTATATCGATCTCCAAATCGATCACCAACACTAGTTGATTCGTCACAGCAAAGTCAACAGTGCTTCAGACCACAGAATAGTTGTCCAATGCCAATATCCATGAAAATGATACTAAGGGGATTCCACTGATCCTCTTACAGTTACGGTGAAAGGAGGCATCCCCGTTCTTTGCTCATTGAATACCATCATACGGCACTGGACGAGTAAAAGCCATTACACCAAGAAAGTTTGATTACCGTTGCCTTTGTTTTCCGAAAACGAATCCCCTGCTTTCGAGTTTCCTGTCTTGTTTAAGCAGTATTTATTTCCTGTGATAAGCACTAGTATTATAGACGCATCTATTCTTCGTCTCACAAAGCAAACACTTACCTGAGAAACCAACTGCAATTTTTTGTAGACAATAGAATATTATTTGCTGCTATATAACGAATAGGAGAATATAATAATAACGTAATTATTTTTACTTGTGTAGTTCAGAAAGTGCCTTGAAAAAAGTACCAGACATTCGTCTAATCATTTTTATGTAACTTGACCAAATATAAGCTTACAATGCCTGATAGTGGAATTAATTTTGACGAAGGCAAGCAGCGCCACGGACAATGTTTCGACGGTTCAGATAACCGAAATGAGAACCAAAATAATGACACCGTGAAAGACACACAAAAGGTTAACGACTCCAATATTAACGTAACGGTACAGAACGAAATAACCAACTTTGCAAAGGAAGTCAGCATCTTAGGACTGAAACAATCCGTCAACTCAAAGTTTTCGTACGTAAGACGTAGCGTTTGGCTGTGCATCGTTTTGGTTGGATTTGGATTTTTGATCCATCACCTACAAAACCGATTTGATTATTATCTCTCCAATCCGACAACCGCGAAGTTCAATATTACCAACAATGACACCTTACTATTTCCAACGGTCACAGTCTGTAATAGCTGTCCACTTAAGGCCACCAGTTTGGCGCGAAATAATGAGACAGAAATCGGTGCTCTGTTTCATGCCTACTTTGGGGCACCCAACTGGTCGGCGTATGATCTCAATCACATCAACTGGACTGAATTTTACTTGAAAAATGGATTCCAAAAGTCAGATTTGTTTATGTTCGTAAGTAGCATTTGTTTGAGTTTTTCTGTTTTTTTTTTTTATGTCGTTGATGTTGTTGTTTAGTTGTTTATTTTTATTTTCATTTCTGAGATAAGGCTTTCATAAATTGGCTGATTACATTATCTGTATCATATCTTTAATTAAAAAGTACACCGTCAGCAATGTTGAAAGAAATTATGCACTTGAAACATTTAACGTTTAACATTCTAAATATACAGTGCCAATGGAAGACGAAGAATTGCAAGAGAAACGCATTTAGGCCAGTCCTCACCGAGTTTGGATTGTGCCATCAGTTCAATGGAGGTATCATGATTATATTATATTATATTATATTATATAATATTATATTATATTATATTATATTATATTATAAGGTATAAATTGATATTGTATCGTAAAATTACACACACTGGACAAAAGAAGTGTCACCCCTACTGAGCCAATACTATGGGGGAGATAAATGACTGTGGAATGATATGCTCCTGGTATCATTTTATTAACATCAAATTTCACAAAAAAAAATCACAAAATGAGAACAAAATATACATTCTACCAAAATATGCAGTTTCAAGTCCAAAATTAGTACTTAGTGGCATAGCCACGTGACCTAATAATAGGTGCCAGTCTACGAAGCAAGGATTCATATAATTGTCTGATAGGTTCAGGGCTTATGCTTATGCTTATGAAACACTGAATATAACAGAGTTTCTCTGCTGGTTAGACGGGCATTTGTCAAAAGTTATATTTCTAGTGATTCATGCTTTCATCAACCACAATCAATTCGCCCACGCCGTGGATGCCGATGCAGCCCCACACCATGATGAATATGCTGCTCCGGGTTCGAAAATTCAGTACATGTGGTTCAAATGCTTTACCAGCAGTTCGCCAGCATCGTACCCGTCTGTCATCAGAGGTCAGACCAAAGCGACACTCATCAGAAAAAAAATATATATATAGGACCAATTGTCATGGGCTGTCCAGTTCCAGATCCTGTTGACCCTAGTTCACTCTACGTTGCCTGTTTTGTAACGATATAAGAGGTTTCAGTCTTGCTACCTGCTGTACACTCTATGAGCATGTAACCGACGCCTAGTAATTTTCACAGACACATTCTTATGTGTGAAATTTTTCCACTGTGTTGTCAACTAACAAGCAGTGTCGAACTTTGACAACCTGGACATCAAAATCAGTCGTCGGTCTTCACGGCAGGTGGTCTTTCTTGGACGACCCATCAGAGGGAATTTGTCTCTTGATCCAGTGTTTCTATACCGAGACCAGACCCTCTGCACGGTTCTGACTAAACAATTCAATTGTATCGATATACTGACATTGCTTATATTCCACCTCTTCAGGTTAATAACTTGCACCTTTAACCGTTAGATAATTGCCTGTATCTTGCCATATTGGAGGAAGACAGGAATAACATTTGCTGTACATGTACAAGACCAACAATACAATCCCATGGTACAGCGGTTTTATACTAATTAGTCACATTATAAGTAGACCAGGCATTATAATTACCCAAGATCTGCCTACTTTTATTACTCTGAGTTAGGGGGTGACACTTCTTTTGTCCAGTGTGTGTAGGTGAAGGCAATACAAAGTATATCTGTGCCACTCAAACACTTTTTTGGACAAATTATGATGAGTTACTTTGAAAAAAAAACGTAGAGAGAGTCACAGCATAAGGTTAGCAATAATAATAATAATAATAATAATAATATTTCACATCGTTTCTTTCACATCGAATATTATTTTTTATGTTCCCAATTTCACAGAAGTTTTCTATCCAGTGTTTACAAATTATTACAAATTATTAAAAATTATTACAAGCCTATCCTTGCATGTGCATTACACTCCGTTTCAGTATCTGCGGTTTTTATTAAATGTATCTGTAGGTGAAGAGATTCATCAGGTTGATATGGAAGGTTCTAGAAATGGACTTGAGCTCTATCTGGACACACAACAACAGAATGAATATACTCAAAATGTTTTGAGCAACGGAGCACTGGTAAAATATCGTACATATATATTAGCTTCATCCCAGATTTAAACAGTGATTAAATATTGAAACGAAAAATTTGTGTGACTGTAGATTAGATAAATATGAAAAGGTATTATTTGACCTAAAATTAAAAACTAAGGAGAGAGCACTGACGCACATTAAAGATTAACATTTTGATTGCTTGTTTATATTTCTATTCTTATTTTTTTGTTTTAATTATTCTTTTTTTATGATTATTGTATGTATTCTTTAAGTTGAATGTCGCTATGTATTTGTGTATTATTTGTGTATCATTTTAGATACTATTACATGACCGACACGACCATCCAGACATGCTGAGTTTTGCCATCCATACCGTCCCTGGAGAAAGCGCCTTTATTGCCCTTAAACTGAAAAAGGTACATGTAAATACACTAAATTAGTACAATAAAAGAAGACAATACCGCCATAGAAAAACAAAGCAGATTTTGATTGATTCAGTTATCAAATGACTGCAATCTGACGGTACCGAAAATATACGGTTATTAGGGCTGACTGCTACTAAATAAATGTTATCACATTTGTGTCTACTTCTTTAGCTATGACTATTTCTCTTTAAATCACAACTTTGCTTTAGTAAAAATAAGATATAAAATTATTCTGCATACGATTTTAGGTCTTGTCAGATGATTGAGAACAAACTTCTATTTATTTGACATAAGTTCACTGTCATTGTAACCAACATGTTCCGTATATCCTGCAATAAGTGTGTTCGATAATAAGAACTTTTTTCAGTCGGTAAACCTCCCTGCTCCCCATGGCAACTGTGGCGAGAGAAAATTGGCTTACTACAAAAAGTACAGCAAAGTAAACTGCCGTGCGGAATGCCTGTATGTATCTATGGTGTAAGCAAAACGATAACAGTCATAAATTCTGTTGAGTCAACAATATTAGTTTAGACATTCATTATTATAAGTAAAAATGTATTTGTATGCACATGGTTGGGTCGTAGAATGAATATAGCTTGAACTTTGCCAAACAGACGTCAATATTTAGTATTTGAATGGGCACACATTTTAAATCAAAATTTTGTTTTGAGACAAGTTAATATAAGTCAATATAAGCTTTACGCACTGTGGTTGTGTCTAAATATCTAAAATATCAGAATTGTATAACATATGCATTAAGAATATACAACACACGCTTTGCGCCCTCTCTTTCTCTCTCTCTTTCTCTCTCTCTCTCTTTGGTGTGATGCATAATTAGCTTTGAATACCATTTCAGACACAATATGACTTTGAAAACGTGTGGCTGCCGGATGGTATACTATCCAGAGGTCAAAGGTTACAGAGACTGTTCCCCACGTGACATCATCACGTGTTATTTCCCGCTGTCAGAAAACACGACCCAGATAAAGCGACAGTGTGACTGTATAGTACCGTGCGAGATTTTGTCTTTTGACTACAGCATCTCCAGTTCTAAAATATCGGCAAAACCAGTATCGTTGGAATTCAACAGAACAGCAGAATCCGTTGAAAAAGACTTCGTCAGCGTGGCGTTATACTACACAGATATGACATACGAGGAGGTGGTACAACAAGAAGCCTACAGCACGCTGACTTTGTTTGCTGACGTAGGAGGAGCTCTTGGCCTCGTTCTGGGAAGTACCTTAATCACCTTTGCCGAGATAATTGATTTCATTATTAGCTTATGTATTTGGAAATTTCTTAGGGTTAAAGTCTAATCACATTCACGTAAAATATAATGATCAATCGATGTTTGAACATTTGTGCACTAATTTTAAACAATTATGTCGTTTGAAATATGTCGATATTTATGTCGATTGGGATTACCAAGGGTTGCCTGGATGTGTATATAACCTACTCTTTTTACTTTATGTTAAGTGCATGGTTGCGATGTTGTATCACGAAAGAGAGATCATTCACTTCTATTAAAATACATTTCTCTCTGAGTTGACAAAGTGATAGTGTATATCGAATTTTATAGTCTGAAAGCCATACTTTGTTTTTAGAACGGTGCATGGCATGGTTTGCATAATTCCAATTCCTATGTAACGCATTTAGCAAAAAATGTTAACCCTAGAAATCAATAGTAAGTGCACATCTACGTGTTCATGGTAAACACATTAAACGCTGTGTGTATGTTTGAATAGCGAGGGTTTATTTCGATCCACCTGAAACGTACGTATCACTCTCATTTCAGAACCATAAGTAATCAATAGGAAGTGTGGGTCTTCGAGTTTTTGGTTTTGTTACATGGTACGTGTACACTGTTTTCCAAAAATGTTCACACTTTTTGGGGGCGGTTGTAAATTATACGTGAATAAAGGCAGCTTACCGGTAGTTAGCTTTGAAGACCGCACATTTAAACAGTTACATCAATAAAAACTTATAAAAGACCAGAACAACCAACACGTTTTAAAAGGTTATGCTTTGGGTAAATGTGGAAATTTAACTCTGGTGTTAGTATTTAAACAACCAACTGGAAAATTGGATCATTATCACCAATACAATAACTTCTTAGCAATTATGTGAAACATTGATTTTGTGGGCCTTAAATTGAGATACATAAATAACGGCGTGAAAGGTTATTCCTGTTTCTTTTATCATCAAATATTTGAAAACCTGGATAAATCAATCGTCCAACTATTGAAGATACGTTTTAATACTGTGGACTTATGTCATCCTTTGCCTAATGGGGTTGTGCTTCATTATGGCGGTATTTTAAAAGTTTCTCACAGCAATCGCGACATGGTTATACTAAGTGTCCTTATTGGCCAATTGTATAGTACTAAAATGGTTTATGCTTTATTGACACTTGTCTATTATCTACAGCTTAAATACTGCAGTAGAAATCAAGCTTTAGTACAGTGTACGAGGTGGGCTACGCAAAGCACACTAAACTTTATTTGATCGGTTAAACTGGTGTTAACTATGATTTGGAATGCCTTGAAATACATTTCATCTAGGTAAAGAGACATGATCTGTTTGAACCAAAGTCTTAAAAAATGAACCCCAATCGTGTTACTCCGACAGACATACCAAAGGGGAACTTTGGTGACGAAGCAACTAAAGATTCTGAAATTGACCAGACGTCTTCGACGCAAGAGAAATTAGCCACATTTGCAGGCGAGGTTAGTATTCTGGGATTAAAACAATCCACCAACCCCAAGTATTCTCCAATAAGACGTTTGATCTGGCTGTGCTTCGTTTTAATAGGATTTGGCTTCTTAATCTTCCACCTGAAGAACCGATTTGACTACTACCTCTCTAACCCGGCAACCTTAAACATGGAGGTTGTTCCAAACGACACTCTGGTGTTTCCTGCGATCACCATCTGTAACAGCAGTCCGTTAAAGGCTAGCAACTTGGCTGCCAATAACGAGAGTGAGTTAGGAAATATTTTCAGTCCATTTGTAAACGTTGACTGGTCGCAGTATAACCTTAGCCATATCAATTGGACCGATTTCCACATGAGAAATGGTTTCCAACTTGAGGAATTATTATTTTGGGTAAGTTAATAACATTCTACGTGAACCGGTGTGACAGGAATGGTAGACCGCTAGGAAACGTAGTCCGTTCCTCATTACTTTAATCAGGTGACATTCCTTCCATAGTTGAACCCCAATACTTCGACTTTCACAAACCTGTACTAATCACATGTACTGTAAGTGAGACCAGACTTTCAACCCTAGGGTTATCATTCGTGTTACACCGCACTATTCCGCGTAGGTTTTGATTTATATATATATATATAAAGCTCTATTTATAGC